TCATTTTAACTTTCTTTATTTCATTTGCTTTATTTTATTTATTTTTTTCCTTTTTTGCTTTTTATTATTTCATCTTAACTTTCTCTATTTCATTTGTTTTATTTTATTTATTTATTTCCTTTTTTGTTTTTTATTTATTTCATTTTAACTTTCTCTATTTCATTTGTTTTATTTTATTTATTTATTTCCTTTTTTGTTTTTTATTTATTTCATTTTAACTTTCTTTATTTCATTTGCTTTATTTTATTTATTTTTTTCCTTTTTTGCTTTTTATTATTTCATCTTAACTTTCTTTATTTCATTTGTTTTATTTTATTTTTTGACTTTTTGGCTTTTTTGACTTTTTTTCTTCATTCCATTTTTTCATTTTTCATTCTTTCTTTTTTGCCTTCACTCCGTTTATTTTTTTTCTCATTTATTTTATTTCATTTTATTTTTTTAATTTTATTTTTTATTATTTTCTTTATTTAATTTTATTTAATTTTATTTCATTTTTGTTTCATTTTATTTTATTCTTTTCTATTTTGTTTTATTTTATTGTTTTTTACTTCGCTTGCTTTATTTAATTTTTTTAATTTTGTTCCTTTAGTTTTATTTTATTTCATTCTTTTTTATTTTATTTTATTTTATTTTATTTTATTTATTTATTTTTTTTTCCGACTATGGCATTGGTCTTTCATCAGAAATAAAACGTTTTTACTTTTTTGATTAATTTTGTTTTTTGCTAATTCTTTTTAATTCTTTTTGATTCTTTTTAATTCTGCTTAATTCTTTTTATTTCTATTTGATTCATTTTAATTATTTTCAGTTATTTGTAGTTCTTTTTGATTCTTTTTATTTTTTATTTTCTTTTATTTATTTTTATTTCTTTGTTTTTTCTTTTTGATTCTTTTTTGTTATTTTTTTAACTCTTCTACAATCCGATAAGTCTTTTTTCTCGTTTCTGATTTTTTAATTCCCTTTATTTGTTCTTTAATTCTTTTTATTTCTTTTTATTTCTTTTTATTTCTCTTTATGTATTTTTTTTTCTGTTTTTCCTTTAGGGCTTCTTCGATTCTTTTTTGTTTTGTTTTTCGACTCTTTTATTCCTATTTATTCTTTTTGTTTTAATTAATTTACTTAATTTATTTTATTTATTTCTTTTATTTTATTTCTTTTATTATTTCACTTGCTTTTTTATTTTATTAATTTTATTTTTTTTATTTATTTTAATTATTTTATTTTTCTTTATGGCCTCTTCGATTCTTCTTTGCTTTTTTTGATTTACTTCGATTTTCTTAAATACATTTTTTCTCTCTTTGTTTTACTTTACTTCTTTTCGTTTTAATTTGTATTATTTTATTTCTTTTTTGTTTTAATTTATTTTATTTTATTTCGTTTATCTTAATTTGCTTTATTCTTTTTTATTTCTTTTTGTTTTGTTTTATTTTCTTTTTTTGTTTTATTTTATTTTACGATGAAAAATAAATTATTTTTCGCTCGTTTTGGATTCTTTAAAAGTCTTTTTAAATTCTGTTTTGATCTTTTTAATTTTTTTTTAATTCATTTTTACTCCTTTTGTTTCTTTTTGTTTTATTTCGTTTTATTTAACTTCAATTTTTTTCATTTTTTTTGATTTTTAATTTTTTAATTTTTTCCACTCCTCGCCCTATTCAGCTTCTTTTTTTTAATTTTTTGATTTTTTTGATTTTATTCTTTTTAAATC